AGCACACTCTACATGGGGTTGCCTTTGAAGACTGTTCAGAAGCTTCAATTGGTCCAATGGGCGGATTGCTCATCAGAACGACGTTCAGGGAACATACCATCCCCATGTTACGTCAGCTCTACTGGCTACCAGTCAGCTACCGAGCACAATTCAAAGTGCTGGCTTTAGCCTATAAAGCCCTAAACAGTTTTGGCCTAGGTCACTTATCTGAATGTATCTCCCTGCTTCGGAGTAATCCTAGATTCATCAATGAGAATGGAACCCCAAGTCTTGGCATTGGCTAGGGGAGCATTCCCAGAATTAAAACTTGTGCACCAGTTGCACTCATACCTTGGGAAGTCTGACTTGGCCATGGTGCTCCACGCTCTTGTTACATCCCGAATAGACTACTACAACGCACTCTACATGGGGTTGCCTTTGAAGACTGTTCAGAAGCTTCAATTGGTCCAATGGGGGGATTGCTCATCAGAAAGACGTTCAGGGAACATACCATCCCCATGTTACGTCAGCTCCACTGGCTACCAGTCTGCTACCAAGCACAATTTAAAGTGCTGGCTTTAGCCTATAAAGCCCTAAATGGTTCTGGCCTAGGTCACTTATCTGAACGTATCTCCCTCTATGACCGACCTCTGAGATTAAGATCATCTGGGGAGGCCCTGCTCTCAGTCCCACCACCCTCACAAGGGCAACTGGTGGGGACGAGAGATAGGGCCTTCTCAGTGGTGACCCTTCGTCTGTGGAACTCCCTCCTCAATGAAATCAGAACAGCCCCCTCCATCCTGTCTTTCAGGAAAACAACTTAAGACATGGTTATAGGACCAAACTATAGCCTCAGGCCCTTTCCTGAGGCTGTTAGGAATTGTGGGAGTTGAAGTCCAAAACACCTGGAGGGCCCAAGTTGGCCCATGCCTGATCTACACAGTAGGATGAATGAAGTTTGACCCCACTTCAACTGCTATTGCTTAATGCAATGGCATCCCAGGAGCTGTAGTTTGATAAGTTACCAGCACTATTTGACAGAGGAGACAACAGACCTTGTAAATCTACAACCCCTCAGGATTGAGCAGCATTGAGCCATGGAAATTAAAGTGGGGTCAAACTGCATTCATTCTACAGTGTAGATGCACTCAAATAGCTGGCAAAATAAATTACAATAAATTAATGTTTATACTAAATTGATATGATCAATAACTTAAATGAAATTCCTTCCATGTGCAGATCTGTGCTTCTCAAGAACTTCAGGGTTGTCCTGTTGTTATTGTTTGAATGCAGATGTCTCAGCAAAAGCAAAAAGAGACCTCAACCAAGCACAATTGATCCCTCCAGCCTTTCAACCCTTTTTGCAATTCAATCGTGGCACGAAAGCTGATCTTTCCTGGCCGACCGGCAGCTGAAGGCAAAGGAGCGCTTTGCTTGCCGCACGGCCTCATTTAGCTAATGCGATCCATCAGCAGCAATAGAGCTTTAATGTAGATTTATGGGACTTCGGAGTGTATTGTAGTTCGGGCTGCGCTCAGTCATTCCTGCAACTCAGCGAAATATATCGCCTTGCCTCCTTTGCAAGGATCCATGGGAGCAAGACGCAAGCGCACTCCCCCTTCATTTGATGGGGTTCAGGGGCCAGGACCCCCACAAAAATGGGAAACCAGATAGATAGATAGATAGATAGATAGATAGATAGATAGATAGATAGATAGATAGATAGATAGATAGAGAGATGTTTCTGGGTAGAACATCTCTTTGGAGGCCAACTCCAAAAATAATTGGATCCACAAAAGTAAACATTGTAAACATGGAAGGACATTTATTGCACTTTCCTCTAAATCAGAGGATGTTTTCACCTCCATACCTCCACATTGACCCAATTTGGGAAAGACATATTCCCGATTAATCCTTTATCCTACCATCTTTTAAGATATTGCTAAACTGATCTGTTTTTAGGTTCTTGTGGGGGGTTTTTTGGGCTATAGGGCCATGTTCTAGAGGCATTTCTCCTGACGTTTCGCCTGCATCTATGGCAAGCATCCTCAGAGGTTGTGAAGTCTGTTGGAAATAGGACAATGGGTTTATAAAAACTCCAACCATCACCCAAGTCAAAAAAGAAGCACCATTAAAGCCTTGGCAGACCGTGCAAAAAGAATCTGTGAAGCCCACCTCCTCCAAGATGAACTGAACCACCTCAACTGGGCTCTCCAGGCCAATGGAGACTCCACCTCAGACATCAGAAGAGCTGCAAGACCAAGAACAAGCCACGAGAGTAAAGATGAAGATCCACCCAGAGGAAAAGTGTTCCTGCCATACATCAAGGGAACCACTGACCGCATAGGGAAGCTGATGAGGAAACACAACATACAAACAATCTACAAACCCACCAAGAATATCCAACAAATGCTACGTTCAGCAAAGGACAAGAGGGATCCTCTCACCTCTGCAGGAGTCTACCATTGTATTCCATGCAGCTGTGGACAAGTCTACATAGGGACCACCAAATGCAGCGCCCAGACACGCATCAAGGAACATGAAAGGCACTGCAGACTACTTCAACCAGAGAAATCAGCCATAGCAGAGCACCTGATGAACCAGCCTGGACACAGCATATTATTTGAGAACACAGAAATGCTGGACCACACCAACAACCACCATGTCAGACTACACAGAGAAGCCATTGAAATCCACAAGCATGTGGACAATTTCAACAGAAAGGAGGAAACCATGAAAATGAACAAATCTGGCTACCAGTATTAAAAAACTCTAAAATTACAACAGCAAAACAGCAGAGAGGAAACAACCAGGCACATCTTAAACACCTCTCAACAGAGGATTTTCCCAGGCTTAGCCAGGCCTTCAAATGCTAATGAAGGTGCTCAGTTGAAACATTCACACCTAGCTCCAGCAGAGAAGAGCTCTTTGCCCCACGCCAGCCATTCCACAGATTTATAAACCCATTGTCCTATTTCCGACAGACCTCACTACCTCTGAGGATGCTTGCCATAGATGCAGGCGAAACGTCAGGAGAAATGCCTCTAGAACATGGCCACATAGCCCGAAAAAACCCACAAGAACCAACATTGAGTATAATAATAATAATAACAATAATAATCTTTATTTATACCCCGCCACCATCTCCCCAAAGGGGACTCGGGGCGGCTAACATGAGGCCAAGCCCAAAATTACAGTACAGCAAAATAAAATACAAGAAGCAAAAATACCATCAAAATAAATACATGAAATAACAAAATAAAATAAACAGTTTCAAAATAATAGGATAGAAAAATAGAACACAATGGGTGGGTCAGATGTATTAGGAATAAAATTGATAGAATTGATAAAACTCTGGATGAGATATGTAGAATGTGTTTCTGAGGGAGAATGAGTATCTGAGGGAGGAACACAAAAGGACCAGAACAGTAGACAACTCTACTACTCTTTTCCATCTAATTCCAAGGAAGCCCCTCGGGTGCTGGACGAGTGCCTGGCCGCTGTGTCTCTCTGGATGAGGAGGAACAAGCTGAAGATCAATCCCGACAAGACAGAGGTCCTCCTGGTCGATCGCAAACCGGATCGGGGTATAGGGTGGCAACCTGTGTTGGACGGGGTTACACTCCCCCTGAAGCACAGGTCCGAGTTTTGGAGTCCTCTTGGATTCATCGCTTACTCTTGAGGCTCAGGCGTCGGCAGTGTCCGGGAGGGCTTTGCACAATTGAGACTCGTGCGCCAACTGCGACCGTACCTCGCGAAGGCTGATCTGGCCGGGGTGGTCCATGCCTTAGTCACCTCTAGACTGGATTACTGCAATGCGCTCTACGTGGGGTTGCCCTTGAAAACGGCTCGGAAATTCCAATTGGTCCAACGGGCAGCAGCCAGGATGTTAACGGGGGCCCATTACAGAGAGAGGTCAACCCTCCTGTTCAAGGAGCTCCACTGGCTGCCGTTTATTTTCTGAGCCCAATTTAAGGTGCAGGTGCTTACCTACAAAGCCCTGAATGGCGTGGGACCACCCTACCTGCGTGACCGCATCTCCGTCTACGAACCCACGCTATCGCTTCGGTCATCTGTGGAGGCCCTGCTCGTGATCCCACCTGCGTCACAAGCGCGCTTGGTGGGGACTCGAGACAGGGCCTTCTCTGTGGTGGCTCCCCGACTCTGGAACGCCCTCCCAAAAGATCTCAGACAGGCCCCTACATTGGCAGTCTTCAGAAAGAATTTGAAGACCTGGCTATTCCGATGTGCCTTCTCAGATTAGGAACCTCCAATACCAAGTCCTAGAAGTACTTTATTAGAATTAAGATTGCCGCACTCTGCACACTGCACTTACTTATAATCCTGCATACCTCCTGCCACATCAGCACTTTTAATCTTGTACCCATTACTCTGGCCCGGCCCAGTTTTATTGTGTCTTAGTGTATTGTTTTATTGTTGTTGTTCATACCGCTTAACTGTTTTTATTTTGCTTTAGGTATTGTATTGTTGTATTGTGTTTTGAGGCCTTGGCCTATGTAAGCCGCATCGAATCCTTCAGGAGATGCTAGCGGGGTACAAATAAAGTAATAATAATAATAATAATAATAATAATAATAATAATAATAGAGTTAGGCCACAACCCACGTTCATTCCCATTAGTAGTCTGCCTGATGAACGTTGGACCAGTTCAAGTTTCTGGGCCATCTTCAAGGGTAGCCCCATGTAGAGTGCATTGCAATAGTCCAATCTAGAGGTAACTATAGTCCAATCTAGAGGTAACTAAGGCATGGACCACCGTGGTCAGATCAGACTTCAACCCGCAGGTGACTCAGCACGGTTAATCCAGTTCAATGCAGATAATGTGGATTATCTGCCTTGATAATCTGGATGATATGGCAGTGTGGAGGGATGGGTGTGTTGTTTTTGTGATGTTTGCTGGGGAAGGCATTTTGCAATAGTACAATGGCAATAAAGCTATTCTATTCATCTCTCGCCTGATGGTAGCGTTGATGTCTCTCCTCTCCTCTTTCCCCCTCCAGAATCCCACGTCCACTACGCACAGCTGGGGACGGACGTGACGCTACAGTGTGGGTCCGTAGACCCCGAGGCCACGGTCACCTGGACGGCCAACACCACTGACCTGGACGCCTCCCATCTCAATGGGTCGCGCCTTGTCCTTCATAACGTGGACCTGTCCCAGAGCGGCCAGTATTCCTGCTACGAAGGGACCTCCTGGCATCTCAAGTATCGGGTCAACCTCAAAGTTGGGAGTGAGTACCCTATTTTGGGATTGCTAATTGATCTTTTGCAGTCTGTGGATTGTCATAGGGCAGGCACAGGCCAATTTTGGCCCTCCAGGTGTTTGGGACTTCAACTCCCACAATTCCTAACAGCCGGTAGGCTGTTAGGAATTGTGGGAGTTGAAGTCCCAAACACCTGGAGGGCCAAAGTCTGCCCATGCATGCCATAGAGGGAAATATGAACCGTTGAGCAAGTTCCATCCGTTGATTGATCAGTCGATTGGGATACAAAGTGGAGAGGATATAGACCCACTGAATCAAATGCGGAATGGTGAGTCGATATACAAATTAATTCCATTGATTCCATAGGCCTACACCAATTAGGACTGACAACAAGATACAGGGCACGTGGCTGGTAAGAAGGACTGGGTGTGCGTTTTGATCGTTTGCTTTTAATCTCGTCTCTTTTGAGGCTTTTCTTACCTGGCAATTTTTGTGAAAGGACACTTAAGGCAGCTAGTGGAATGACACAAAATGTATGGAGCCATCAGTCAAAAATTGCAAGTCATAAAGTCTCGTATATTTGCTGAAGTCTCTGGAGAGTTGTTGTTATTGGAGAAATGGGCTTGTAAACCTGACTTTAACTTTGAGTGTCCTTATGCAGAGAAAAAGCGGGACATAAATAAACATTATTATTATTATTATTATTATTATTATTATTATTATTATTATTACTACTACTACTACTACTACTACTACTACTACTAGCAATCCCCGCCACCCATTGCTGTGGCCCAGTCTGTGTATATGTGTTTTGTGTGTGTGGATTGTGTTCCAAAACTTTGTCAGTCTGGATTCGAAAGTCCCACAGTATTTTTGCCTGTTCATTTTCCACGACCTTTACTGATTTATGGTCCCAACAGTTCTTAACTACTGGCAAGTGGTACTTGTGAAGTTCCAATGAATCATTTGGGTCACATAGTTGTGCCTCTGCTTGTAGTCTGTCTGTGTGATTTTCTTGCAGCAGCTGAGGATATGATATCATATGAGGATACTTACTTACTTAGGCGATCCCTTGTAGTCCTAGGATGATGGTCCTCCAAGTGTAGTGTCCTGGCGGTGGGTTCGTAGGTGACTGTGGAGCCCTATTCTTGATCTGCATCTTCTCCCACAGTGGGGGCATCGGTTTCCAGGTAGAAGCGGTCCCGTTCGGGGTTGGCTTGATGTGCCTTCCTCTTGGCACCTTTCTCTCTTTCACCCTCCATCTGTGCCTCTTCTAATTCTGCAGCACTGCTGGTCACAGCCGACCTCCAGCTGGAGTGCTCAAGGGCCAGGGCTTCCCAGTTCTCAGTGTCTATGCCAGAGTTTTTAAGGTTGGCTTTGAGCCCATCTTTAAATCTCTTTCCTGTCCTCCAACATTCCGTTTTCCATTCTTGAGTTCAGAATAGAGCTTAATATGATATGAGGATATTAAAAGACTGGCACAAGAGGGTCCCAGTGGTGATGGACACACTGGGTGCAGTGCCTCAAGACCTTGACCTGCACTTAAAAACAATCAGCGCTGACAAAATTACCATCTGTCAGCTGCAAAAGGCCATCCTACTGGGATCTGTGCACATTATTTACCAATGCATCACACAGTCCTAGACACTTTGGAGATGTCCAACATGTAATCAAATGCAAAAGCCAGCAAAATGATCTTGTTTGCTGTGTACCAATCTTGTTGTAAATCAAGTAACAACAACAACAACAACAACATTCAAGGCTCAGTACTAGGGAATCCTTGGAACTGTAGTTTGGTGATGCAGCATCATTTTTGGAAGAGAAGGCTGAAGACCCCATAAAACTACACCTCCCAGGATTCCCTAGCATTGAGCCATTGCAGTTAAAGTGATGCCAAACTGAATTAATTCTACATGTAGATGCAACCTTAGTGGCGAAACAGTCAAAGATGTCTTTGAGGCCTTGTATCCATTTATAACACTCATCTCTCCTGCAAATTCTGTACTTGATCCCCTGGGAAAGATAATACGGAGAAGCATTGCATTTTGAGCTGTTGTTCAGACCTGTTTCTGCTTGCGATTGTGCAATTTAATTTTGAATTGATGAGAAGTTCTCTATATTGATTGATTGAACTTATAGCCCGCCTTTTATCGCGTTGTTTACTGGGTTCATATCCCACTTTTCTCCTGAAATGGGATCATGATTTCACCAACACTACAACTGTTTTCAAAGTTGGTTGTTGTGAGTTTTCCGGACTGTATGGCCATTGTTCCAGAAGCATTCTCTCCTGACGTTTTGCCTGCATCTATGGCAGGCATCCTCAGAGGTTGAGGGGTCTGTTGGAAACTATAGATGCCATAGATGCGGGTCGTGTCAGGGCAACCAGTCAATTGCATTACATTTCTAACAGAACAAAACAAACAAACAAACAGACAAAACACAAAATTTGCAAGTTTGGTAGTTGATTAAATGTCCTTTGACCAGTATCTGGCCACTTGGAGGGCTTCTGGTGTTGCTGCAAGAAGGTCCTCCATGGTGCATGTGGCAGGGCTCAGGTTGCATTGCAGCAGGTGGTCAGTGGTTTGCTCTTCTCCACACTCGCATGTCGTGGATTCCACTTTGTGGCCCCATTTCTTGAGGTTGGCTCTGCATCTCGTGTTGCCAGGGCACAGTCTGTTCAGCGCCTTCCAAGTCGCCCAGTCCTCTGTGTGCCCAGGGGGGAGTCTCTCATTTGGTATCAGCCAGCCATGGATTGAGGTGCTGGGTTTGAGCCTGCCACTTTTGGACTCTCGCTTGCTGAGGTGTTCCAGCGAGTGTCTCAGTAGATCTTAGAAAACTATTTCTTGATTTAAGATAGATGTGGGTGAAATATCAGGAGAGAATGCTTCTGGAACTTGGCCATACAGCTTGGAAAACTCAAAGCAACCCAGTGATTCTGGCCATGAAAGCCTTCGACAATACATAGCTTTCAAAGTTTTCAGAGTAGCAGGTTTTGCCATCCAGGCATTACAGGTCTCATGTTGATCCCAGGCCGTCTATCCAGACATTAGTATCAACCTTATTGTAAGGGCCACTTTTCTCCATTTTGCCTTTTTGAGTGCTTCTCTGCAACCCAAAGCGATGCCAAAAGGAAGCCCAAGGAAAACTGTTTGATGCATTTATTGCCCCTTGGCCAAAGAGACGCTCCGCAAATATATATTTTAAGAGTGGAGTGGCCCGGCAGAAGTGGAGATGCGGCACCCATTCAAGCAATATTGTCAACTGAGGGGTGTTTTTTCTCCAAAGGGAAGAAATTTTCCATGCAAGTCTCTTGGGGATTTCCATTTTCTCAAGAATTCAGTGGATGGTCTGGCGTCCATCTGGTCTCTCGAAATCTCCCTTCCTGTTTGATAGGAACCATGTGAATATTTCATAACTCCGTGTGAAATTTCATTTCTTGAGAAAGTTTCTTAACTTCATGACTCAGGTGTGTTGCATTGGTTTGGATTTTTCTTTGGACAGAGTTGACAGAGTGGGAAGGTCAAGCAGAAGGTCAACAAGAATCTGGAATCAAGTCTGTTCTCAACAATAATATAGTAATGTATTTTATTGGTTACCCGCCTCTACTAGAGAGAAGTCCAGGCATGGGCAAACTTTGGCCCTCCGGGTGTTTTGGACTTCAACTCCCACCATTCCTAACAGCCTCAGGCCCTTTCCGTTTCCGTTCTGCAAATTGCATATTGTCTGGGGCAATCTTTTGTTGAGAGGTGATTAGATGTCCCAGATTGTTTCCTCTCTGTTGTTTTGCTGTAGTAATTTTAGAGTTTCTTAATACTGGTAGCCAGATTTTGTTCATTTTCATGGTCTCCTACTTTCTGTTGAGATTGTCCACATGCTTGTGGATTTCATGGCTTCTCTGTGTAGTCTGACATGGTGGTTGTTAGAGTGGTCCAGCATTTCTGTGTTCTCAAATAATCTGCTGTGTCCAGGTTGGTTCATCAGGTGCTCTGCTATGGCTGACTTCTCTGGTTGAAGCAGTCTACAGTGCCTTTCATGTTCCTTGATGCATCTTTGGGCAACACTGCGTTTAGTGGTCCCTATTTATTTATTTATTTATTTATTTATTTACTCTATTTGTATACCGCATATATCAGCCTGAGGCGGCGACTCAATGCGGTTTACAATAAAAACAACACTAAACAATGTATGAGACACACAATACAGACAAACACATAATCATCAACGCCACACTTAGAATCAGATTCCGATCTCAAAATCCTTTTTCCATTCCTTGTCCGATGCCGTCATTATTGAGTTAATTGCCAAAAGCCTGCTCGTAGAGCCACGTCTTCACCCTCCTCCGAAACACCAGTAACGAAGGGGCCTGCCTGATGTCCACCGGTAACGCATTCCATAGCCGAGGGGCCACCACCGAGAAGGCCCTGTCTCTCGTGCCCGCCAGCCGCACTTGTGACGCCGGCGGAACCGAGAGCAGGGCCTCCCCGGAAGATCTTAACGCTCTTCCCGGTTCGTAGAAGGAGATGCGTTCGGAGAGGTAAGTGGGGCCGGAACCGTGTAGGGCTTGTAGACTTGTAGACTTGTCCACAGTTGCATGGGATACGGTAGACTCCTGCAGAATCACCTCTCAACAAAAGATTGCCCCAGACACTGCCAGGCCATCAAATGCTAATCAAGGTGGTTAGTTGAAACATTCCCACCTAGCTCCAGCAGACAAGAGTTCTTTGCCCCACCCAGGTAATTCCATTAATATATAAAACCATTTTCCTAGTTCCAACAGACCTCACAACCTCTGAGGATGCTTGCCATAGATGCAGGCAAAACGTCAGGAGAGAATGCCTCTAGAGCAGTGGTTCTCAACCCCTTAATACAGTCCCTCATGTTGTGGTGACCCCCAACCATAACATTGTTTTTGTTGCTACTTGAAAGATTCCTGAGCGTCATTTTACTACTGTTATAAATCATAATGTAAATATCCGATATGCAAGATGTATTTTCATTCACTGGACCAAACTGGGCACAAATACCCA